GCGGTATATTTATTGAGTGCACGTGAAGGTCAAGTAAAAGGAGAAGTAATTATGATTGCTTGCTCACAAAGTTTCTTCTTCTTCACGTATGGGNTTTGGTCCATTAGGTCACATATACAAGACTTGTATATATATGTGACGTTCGGATGATAATAATTCATTCAGTAGCCGCCGATTAAAATCCTTAAAAGAAAAGTANAAACAGTTTCTCTTTATACTCGAGATTAGATCTCTACAGCACTAGCATCCTGTCTTGATCTAGTTTGTGTGCGTGTGGATACCGATAGAGGCACAACGTTTGGAGTGCTACATAACCTTGATTTAATTCAGTTCATCTTTCCGCTGCCAAATATCCANGTATATTCGAAATCATAGAACCTANATCTAATTTAGTATTTACACGAATCCTAGAAATTGAATTCTAAGTCAATATTTATAAATAGTTATAAATCGCCTATAAAGTCGAACAGTGGTATCAGAGCCTACGTGTACAATATTAAAATTGGTCTAGTTTAATATATATGTGATATATATGCTAATTTTATGAATAGTTTGATTTGTTTGAATTTATGAAATTCTATCGAACATGTTTGCGTGAACTGAAACTATGAGATATGTGATTTTAATTACCCAGAACCTTGTTAAAATCGGCATGATAATTCTGATAGTTTTAATATTATAATATGATTATAATCGGTCACTGACAATTCGCATGCATGTTTAAAGCTATTTGCATAATTGAAAACGAATACGTAAGTGATGTTATACGTAAGTGAATTGATACATGGCTGTTTGACCTTTGATATAATAATGTTATATGCATGTGTTAGACAATATTGTATCACTGGTTTGAGTTCTGTTTTAATTGATTCGATTAAATTAAAATCCAGAAGCTCTGGTTGTGTGTTAATCTTTCACCTGATCAAAATCCTGGTTTGATTAGAGCTTCAAACTGATCTAGATTAACTAATAACTTGTAATTTTAATTAGATTAAAAATAATTATTTAAGAACCAGTTTAAAAC